CTCCACATGCCAATGTTTTTTTCGTTTCCCGAAAATGCAAAAGACTTTGTGTCTCACTGCATTGATAGAAAAGAAGGTTATGTACAGCTGTAGAAGTGTCACACCACAAACAATACCATGCCCTTACTCCCTCCTTCGCCCACAGCTGAGCTAAGGTTCATACTGTATCTTGCAATGCATGCAAAGATATTATGACTTGTCAAGTGTATCCACTCCCTTGCCTGTAGAATATGTGTACTGTGGGTATAGTGGAACTGTGAAATGTTGTTAGTCACGAGGGACATTTGTTTTCTTCCTTATGTTCTGTCAGCAACTTTGTGGAAATTGGGAAGGTTTTCAGGCGGGATAAAAAAAGTCTAAAAGATCCGGACTTTTTTCTATTGTATTTGAAGTTTCAATACTTGAATTGTTTCCAAGTACTGATGGATCTCAGCAAGTCATTCAGAGAAGTTCAAAATATGTTATCACTTAACTGTTACAGATACATTGATGCTTTGCCTTCTCTGGTACATTCTACGGTATCTCACTGGGTTCTTTCAAAGGTATATTCCTTCTAGCCTTGATCTGCTTACATCATTTCACATAAAGTTTTCAACACTTGAATTGTTTCCAATTACGGCATGTGCTGTAGGTTTTTCCTAGTGTCATGTTTTTATTCCCACGCAAAGACATCATCTACTACTTACTACTTACTACTTACTACTTACCATCATTCTCCTTCGGATCAGCTGTTGCAAGGAACTCAGTCCATGTACAATGCAAGGAGGTGTTTAGGGAGGTGCTTGTGACAATGAACCGGTTTTTTCTTATAATATCGGTGCTTATTTGTATAGCACAGATGCTTGCTTAGGCACGTCTGCCATGAAAACAAGCACGGGTGTTTAAGAAAAGCCAGTTTATTTTTACAAGCACATCTCTAAACACCTCGCATTGTACGTGGTCTCAAAGAGCTATTCGAGCATAAGATCCTTTATATTATGTCTTTTGCGGAAATATAAATCCATGAACATGGGAGTAGTTAAGCCAGCGAATTCAAGTATACAAACTTCCATTATTGGTGTGTCTCCATTCTGAAAATGCTGCGACACCTCTGAAACTACCTCTTATTCAGTTGTCAATTTGACATACGTTTCATACCTGGTTTGTTTGAATGTAAGCTGACCTGGCTTCTCTATGTGTTGTAGTAATCTGGAGACCATCCTACAAGGTGCGAACTACCTTCTACAAGGTAGTTAATCATCGAAGGCAAAAGCACATATGTTGATGGCTTTGTGGAACTCCCCCTGTAATCTATGTTTTGATTAGTCTCAACTGAGAAACTAGAAAGGAACGACTTATGCGTTGTTGTGTTTGTAGCTGTCTTTTACTGTATGTTTGCATTGTCCATGGTGGTTGTAATATATTGATGTTGCTGATTCTCAGTTGACTGCCTGGAACTTATGTAAATCTAGTCACCTCGGTTTGCACATCCCTAAACCTAAAATTTGCAGTCCCAACTTTTAGTCTTGTCATTTTTCTTAGTTGGGTTCATCCTGTCCAGTAATTATGTAAGAGGATGTCATGAACTTGGCTATGCACTGTCATATGTATAGCCCTCTGTATTTTGGAATTTAGCAATTTTTTACCTTACGTATTGTGGACTTCAAGTAATTTTTTGCTGAAGCGTTTTTATTACTAGTTTTGCGTGATTTCATACTGGTATCTTTAAAAATGCACAAATTTACTGCTAATAGTTCGATTGATGGTTTTTCTGATTGAGAAGATGACTGAAGTCGAGCGGTTTTGGTTAGACGTCCAATCGATCAACTTCAGCTGGTGGTTGCAACGTTGTTTTCTTTCTCCGGAGGAATCCTTCCTATCGAAGCAGCAGTAATCCTAGCCTTTTCTGCACACACACACACACATCGAGTAATCCAGAGCGAGCTAGTCCAGGCTTGTACGTCAGTTTGTTCTGGAGCGTCAACCTTGGCCGCTCACGCTGAAGTAAGGCTCGGCTGTCACACGGTTCCACCTGTCGGGGCACCGCTTGAAATGCTGACCTGAGCTGCACCCCCGTCGTCCCCAGGTTGAGCGCTCATCGTTTCTAGCACGCCGTGTGCGTGACTGTTCGTTCTTTGCGTACAAGGAGAGGCAGCAAGAGGGTCGCTTCGGTCCAGCCATGTTTTACCTCGTGATATCGATCCCGGCGATCCTCCTGTTGCTCGTCCTGGCGCTGGGGTGCTACATGCTCGGCCGGAACCGCGGCTGGGCCGAGGCGGCCGCACCGCAGCAGTTCGCGCCACCGGCGCCGCCCAAGTAGCAGCAGCGAGGAATCTTCGTCAGTAACGCTATATGTATGCCGGTTTATTTCCCTGGTTTGCTTTCAGCACTGCTGTATTTTCTTTCTTACTTTTGTCTTAGATGTTCTAGTGTGTTCTTTATCTTGCAACGAGTGGCAATAGTCCAGCCAGGATGTTTCCCCTGTAATCAGTAAAATGGGTGAAGTGCTCTTCTTCTTGATGCAAATGTATTGCTTGACCTTGATGCAACTTCGGAAATGCGTTTGCTCTTCCGTCACAATAGCCGGTTGCCCAAGTCGACAGTCTCAGATCGCTTACAGTTACAAGCTAAATTATCTGGTATGATGGCTTGGATGTTAGCCTATTCCAATCTGCAAGACGTTCATTTGTTTCTGTTTTGTTATGGCTTGGATGTTAGCCTATTCCAATCTGCAAGACGTTCATTTGTTTCTGTTTTGTTATGGCTTGGTAGTGCAACCCGGTCCATTTTTGGTGATCAAATGGAAAAAATGTGTTCATTTGTGTTAGGAATGTTAGATTTACACTTCATGCTTGGTATTGGTAGAGTCAATGTTCAAGCTACATTACAACATGACTCGTGCTCACTGAAATCTCATCATGTGGATCAGTAGTAAAAAAATACATAGTATAGTCAATTTTCTTGGTAAATGACGTGTAGGTTTTTCTAGGGATTGTACTGCATGAGATTAAGAAAATGTTTTTTCCCCTTAGAATAAGCATCCAAGGACATTTCAGATTTGATCTGTGTTGTGAACTAAGCATGGCTTAGATAGCTAGATTCCTTGTGTGAAAGCAACCCACCACTATTCTGTCAGTGGTATGGCATGTTCCTCAACTATGAGGCGTTGCGACTTTAATCTTAAGATCCGTCGGCTCAATCTCTCGAAGATGCTCATACGAGTAGAGCATGTGCAAGTGCATTCATAGGGATGAATGTGCGTATGTATACGTGAGCGTTAGTTTTTGTGTTGTGTTTCTAAAAAAAATCACCTGTGCTGAGGAAACAATAGTAAGGATGTGAGCAGCCAACGCTGCAAAAAACAAAAACATCTTGTGAATACTGTATGCACCAAACGAACTCAAAATAGTTCCACAATTTTTCAAGACTGCGACCATGGTACTAGGATAAATACATCGCCGACCGATGATCGGTGGTGCCACCAGGTGGCAAGCCCGGTAATCTATGCCAAAAAAACAGCATTAGCGATCGGTGTTGAAATATGAAGTGGGTTTTATGCCCATCTAACGGTTTCAGAAAATTTCTAAGCGCCCATGAGGGTTAAATGACACAAGATATAATGGAAAGTTTAGTCCCATCTCGCTTTTTTTTCTGGAAAAGGGGCGCAGCCCCGGCCTCTGCATCGGAAAGATGCATATGGCCACATTTATTAAAATAAAATAGGTCCAACAAAGATCTGTAACTCCGTTACACAATAGTCCCCTAACGGCTCACAAAGAGCAGCAAAGTAAAAGCCACAGCCGGCATGCAAAATAAAGATAAGAAAACTAATTGCTCATCCTATTACATGACCGCCATCCAAACCGGCTGAAAATAGCCCGAGCTACCATCTCCCATCGGGCAGATCCAGTAACCAAATACTCCCTGGCCTCCATCTGAGTGAGTAGCGACCACATACGGATTAGCGTGGTAGCTCGGAAGATGACCTGTAAAAAATGAGTATATGTTGTTCTGTTAAAAACCATATCATTCCTACAGTTCCAGACTGCCCAGAGTAAGGCACATACTCCTACACGAATGTGTTTAGCCGTTTGGGCCTCTATCCCATCCAGCCACGTCCCAAATAACGTGTTGATATTATTTGGTGGAGTAATATTAAAAGCAATGTGAACAGTCCGCCAAAGAACCTTCGCCATAGGACAATCGAGGAAGAGGTGTTTGATATTCTCGTCTTGATCACAAAAGCTACATCTCTTAGAACCGGTCCAATTGCGCTTTGTCAAATTATTCTTGGTTAAAATAACTTGTTTATGAACAAACCACATAAACACTTTAACTCTCAGAGGGACCTTGACATTCCAAACATGCTTGGAGAGGGGAATAGAGCTAGAATTGATGACATCTAAGTACATCGATTTAACCGTGAACTCTCCACTCCTGGTTAATTTCCAGCTCAACGAATCCGGCCGTTGAGCAAGCTGCACATCCATCAGTCTTCTCACCAGATGTAGCCAGGCTTCCCAACGCGCTTCGGCAAGTGTTCTCCTAAATTGGATATTAAGGGGAGCGGTCCTAAGAACGGTTGCGACCAGAGCGTCTCTCCGTTGCACGACGTTATAAAGAGACGGATACTGTAGCGCTAGAGGGGTTTCCCCTAGCCATGTATCCTCCCAGAATCTGGTATTGTTACCGTCTCCGATAATAAACTTTGTTCTGTTGAAAAAGACCGATTTAACTCTCATCAGCCCTTTCCAAAAAGGTGAGTCCGTCGGCCTCACTGTCACCTGTGACAAAGTTCTGGAATGAAGGTACTTGTTGCGCAGAATCTGCGCCCACGAGGCTTCCGACTCTACAGATAACTTGTACAGCCACTTGCTGAGAAGACATCTGTTTTTCACCTCAAGATTTTCAATCCCAAGACCCCCTTGGTCTTTTGGTCGGCAAATAATATCCCATTTAGTGAGTCGATATTTCCTTTTGGAATCATCACTTTGCCAAAAGAAACGGGATCGATAGAAATTCAGTCTTTTCCTAACTCCAACTGGTATCTCAAAAAACGACAAAAGAAACATAGGCATGCTCGTGAGGACCGAATTAATAAGAATTAACCGGCCCCCATAGGACATCAACTTGCCCTTCCAACAGCTTAGTTTCTTCTCTAATCGATCCTCAACACACTTCCACTCTCTATTTGTTAGCTTACGATGGTGAATTGGTATACCTAAATACGCAAAAGGTAAACTCCCAATTTCACACCTGAACAATTGCTTATAAGCCTCTTGTTCTTCTTTGGCTCTTCCAAAGCAGAACAATTCACTCTTGTGAAAGTTAATCTTTAAGCCCGTCAATGTGTTCGAATAAGCATAACACCAGCTTCATGTTTCGCGCTTTTGCCAAGTCATACTCCATGAAAAGTATAGTGTCATCAGCGTACTGTAGGATAGACACCCCTCCATCAACTAGATGAGGTACAAGGCCACCTACTTGGCCAGCATCCTTTGCCCTACCTATTAGAATGGTCAACATGTCAGCTACGATGTTGAACAGAATAGGTGACATCGGATCTCCTTGTCTCATGCCTTTATGTGTCTGGAATAGTGACCTATGTCATCATTCACTTTGATTCCAACACTCCCTTTTTGCGTGAAAGATTCAACCTGCTTTCTCCAAGCTGGGTCGAAACCTTTCATGCGCAAAGCCTGTTGTAGGAATGGCCACTTAACTTTATCGTACGCCTTTTTAAAATCCACTTTAAAAACAACCCCATCTAGTTTTTTCGAATGGAGTTCATGGAGGGTCTCATGCAAGACTACAACCCCATCTAGGATGTTTTTGTCTGGCATGAAAGCAGTTTGGGTCGGCTGCACCACAGAATGCGCAATCTGTGTGAGTCTATTAGTCCCAACCTTGGTAAAAATTTTGAAACTGACATTAAGAAGACAGATAGGCCGGAACTGCTCAATTCTCACGGCCTCTGTTTTCTTCGGTAGTAATGTAATTATTCCAAAATTCAAATGAAACAGCTGAAGCTGACCGGAGAACAGATCGTGGAACATCGGTAGCAGATCCCCTTTAATAATATGCCAACATCTCTTATAAAACTCAGTAGGAAATCCATCCGGCCCCGGAGCCTTATAGCTCTTCATCTGTGCAATCGCGTCAAACACCTCTTTCTCCGAGAACGGTGCAGTCAATACCTCATTCTCATCGGCAGCCAACTGAGGCACATCCTCAATTCTCGACTCATCCAGGGACACAAAGTTATCCTCTGGAGGCCCAAAAAGCTGCTTGTAATAGTTGGTAATGTAAAGCTTTAGGTTCTCTTGTCCAATGATCGTACCCTCGTCTTGCTCAAGCTGAAAGATTCTTTTCTTTCTGTGCTTGCCATTGGCAATCATATGGAAGAATTGAGTATTGGCGTCCCCTTGGACAACTTTACGAACCTTAGCTCGCAATGCCCATTTCAACTCCTCTTCTCTCAACAGCTCTTTCAATCTCATCTCCGCATCCACTTTAGCATGAAGCTCTGCGGACTACAGAATTGTGGTGTGACGCCCCGAGACCGACGCTCCAGAAGACTTCCAGTTATTCTGAGTTTTGCCATGTGTTTCTTTTTTTGCTTGCTCTTTTATTTTTGCATTGCATCATGTCATCATGCCATCATATAATTAATTTTTAAAACTCATCTAAATAAATTGTATGGATCTTCGATCCATTTAAACCGAGGGAACTCACATGGTGACTTCTCTTTATAACATACCCTCCCGATATTTAGGGAGATATTATAAAATATTCCATTGTTTTGGAATCACCCATGAACCCACTTGCATATTAAATTCCTTGGCCTTTTCTTCTTCAAGTTTTGACTCTCTAACCTTGTCAATAATTATTTTACCATTTTCCGGAGCTCCACCAAAAATCCGAACATTTTTGGACCTTCCTTTTATCAAGTCCTAGTTCAAACCCATTTGAATTAAATTCAAATGAGTTTGAATTTAAATCTTTCAATCATGGCCTTTCTATTTTTCTTGGAACGAGCATATTTTTGCGAGTCCGGGAAAATTATCCCATGCGCTAATCTTTCCCTAACCCTCTCTTTCTTTTCCTCTCTCTATTTATTTTTGGCTAGAAAATTAGAAGGAGAGAGAAGAGTGAGACAGCCCAGGCCAGCCCACCAGCCGCATCGGCCCATTTTCCTCTCAGGCCCAACCGCTGCTCTAACCCTAGCCCGCTCGATCCCTCGCTCTCATCTCTCCCTCTCGTTCCCGTGCCCGCCGCCACACACGCAGCGCCCAGCCTCTTCGCCCGATCCCCATCTCACGATCCGCTCATCTCCCTCGATCCCACACAGCACCGCCGCTCAGGAGCAGAGCCCCGCTCCTCCCGATCCGCCTCGCGCCACCACCTCCTCGCCGGCCGCCCGCACCACCGCCTCGCCCCTCTCAGCCTCCTGCGCCCGTGCCCCTCCTCTGCCTCGTCTCTGTTTCCGGCCGCCGACAGCGAGCAGCTCCGTCGGAGCTCGTCCCCGAGCGCGGCCAACTCCGGCGGCCCCATCGCCTCTGCGCGCGAGCGCCGCGCGCCCAACCTCCTCCCTCACCTGCGGCCTCCTCCTCGAGCCTCCGCCGTTCACCTCCTGCAGCCCGAGCGCCACCGCCAGCAGCAGCTTCAGGACGTCCCCGCCGCCAAGTCCCTCGCCGCCTCATCTCTGCCTCCTCCCTCTGCTGTCTCCGGTGCCGCAGCACCGGAGCTGCTCCTTCCACGCGCCACCGCCTGCTTCTCCGCCGCCGCGCCATCTTATTCAGGCACTCGAGCACGAGCTTCGTCACGCCCCTGCCGGCCCCGCGCCCTGCTTGCCTCTGTCGTGAGTGCTTCGTCGAGTCCGTGGTTTGCCTGGGGCCGACCTTTTCCCTTCGCATGCACCACCGACCGACC